AATGACTGCTGAAACTCTACTCTCTCTACATTTGTATGTTGATTCAAAGGGGTTCTTTTTCATTTTAAGATGGCTAACCTGACATTACATTGACACTAATTTTAACTGATACGACAAATGTAAATGTCATCTGCTTGTTCTTTTGTAATGCCTCTCTGAATTGAGTTATAGCATGCTGTAAAGAGCTGAGTGTGACAGTAGCAAACAATATGACGTGAGGTCACAATAAGAGAAAGTCACTTCACAAACACACACACACACACACACACACACACACACACACAAACACAAACACACACACACACACACACACACACACACAAACACAGTACATGACTAATAAGGTGGTGCTTATTATGACACACATCAAACTGTAGAAAGTTTGTCATGAACCACTAAAGGCTCACACGATACAATTCTTAAGATCTTAGGAAAATGCTCAAAGTGTGCGAGATCCCACACATGATATGTTAAGGTACATTTAAATGTTTTGTTGCTATATTTTGGAGAGCAATAATCCAACAACAGTCTTGTGATTAAAAAGGACTTACAACAACAGTGTCCTACGACGGGCAAAAGGGAATAGGGATGTTTGTTTTTGCATTACTGGTTACCAAAAAAAATGTTTAAAAATATGGACTTCGTCATCAAGACGGCTGAAAACTCAACATGTTATGATACCTTTCACATTTGAGTTGCTATAGTGTGGAGAGCAATGATCAAACAATCAAAATCTTGCAAAATGTTTCGCGACTAAACAAACATGGGGCCCAACGACGAGCAAAAATAACTAAGAATGTTAGTTTATGCCCCAATTTGTTCCAACAATTCACAAAGAAAAGACAAAATAATATGGACCACGTCATCGAGACTTTGCTGTAATGCAAGCTGGAGGTGAGATAAACTTGTAACAAAAAAAATACTACTTTATCCTTGAATTTGCTGCAGCCTTCATGGCTTTTTTGCTTTAAATTTAAATTGAAGCGTAACCCTCTTTTTCGGATTTGTTTTTATGTGATTTATTTATATTTAAATATTGCTTGTGTTTTAGAATGTGTTATTATCTATGTGCATTAAATGTCTTCAGTTTTTATGTTTAAGGACTTTGTAACTGTTAAGATCAGGCTTTTGTGATCAGTTGGGAGTGGGGAATCAGGTCAGAAATCAGCCTGACTTGTGTGTAAAGTGTACGTTGCATTAGATGTAAATGTATGTGTCTTTAAATAACATCATAACAGAACTATGGCAACGATACAAACAGTCGCTGCAACGTTGAAAGCGAGACGAAAAGTTTCAAAATGAAGCGTCATTTGGGCATAACTGTAAACTTCCTGTGTCTGCTTCTGTCCTTTCTCTTCTTATAAACCCACATTAATAACCGAGAGGCAGGCAGCGGTTATTCCTGTGGCAATTTGCTAAAAGTCACCCAACTGGAACGATGTCAGCGAGCGGCTTTGTCCTGCAGTGGATCGGGGCAAACTGGGGCAGGTTCTGTGATTCAGGATGAAGATGGATCACAGTGTGAGTACGAGAGTGTCCTGACCCGCTGCAGCATGTGTGTGTGTGTGTGTGTGTGTGTGTGTGTGTGTGTGTGTGTGTGTGTGTGTGTGTGTGTGTGTGTGTGTGTGTGTGTGTGTGTGTTTAACACCTTCTTTAAGTTATTCAAGGTTCAAGAGTTAAGGTATGATAGTGATCTGAGGATTAGAAACAGTGTTCAGACGAGATGTTGGGATTAGAAAGACAACACGCTCAGATCATACTGAGTACTTTAACATACTACGCTATGAGTACTTTCACATACTACGCTATGAGTACTTTAACATACTACGCTATGAGTACTTTCACATACTACACTATGAGTACTTTCACATACTACGCTATGAGTACTTTCACATACTACGCTATGAGTACTTTAACATACTACGCTATGAGTACTTTAACATACTACGCTATGAGTACTAATACTTTACTAAGTCTTTTTTCTGTACAATAACAAATATACTCGTACTAGAAGGTGTTAAGATCTTTCTTTCACATTCACTCTCTATCTCTTTCTCTCTTTTGCTTACACCCAACACGTTTCTTAGTCCAACAGTTGCAATTGTATTTTATGAAGTGCAGTCGGTTTGTGCCTCAATTACACCAGATTTCCCTCCATCTTAGTTTCCAATCAAACATGTAGAGCAAGGTCAACTTATCCTCAAAAACTTCCAGTAAGATATCTTACGAAAAGTTATTCTTCATTGTTCCTCCATTTTACTACAAATGTCGAAAAACACGTGTCGATTCCAGCTCTTCACAACATTTATAAGACTTGTTCAACACTGTTACGACTTGTTTTGGGCCAGTCCTCCAGTCTTGTGCCATTTTAGTTAGTGTGCTTTAAAAGTGTTTATTAAAATCATGTGGTTGTTGTAAAATCAATCAGGTTTGGCGTTTTAAATATGTGTTGCGGTTCACAACGTGAGCCACAAATTGTTGTTGTTATGCCGTGGCCATGTCAAACACAAAAACCACAATCACTCAAACCTCATGATGGTTTAACAAACATTAAACCCAGAAGAAGAATGCAGGTCAGGGACACCGGACCTCATACAACTGTTGTTTAAAGTGGACCTATCATGCTATATTTGAATAATATAGTGTAGGGCCATACCTATATAAGGCATATTTATACTTTTTTTTTTTCAAAATACCAAACAGATCATGCATTTTAGCCATGCCTCATTTTGCTCAATTTGACAATTTCTAGCTTTGGGCAGATTCAGTGAGAACAGCACCATCTACTGGCCTGGCATATGTACTACAGCGTCTCCAGCGCTTTCGAACGGCAATGGCCGTGGCTGTCTCCTCCTGATTGGTGGAGTTGGCCCAATAGCCGTAGCGCCACCGTCCTGACGTCAGGACAGTGTTCAAATCTGGATCAGTTTTTATCAGATCCGTTGCAGCCCCTTTTTTAGAGATTTGGGTATGGAGGAAAATAGAGAGGGTTGTGTTTTCTGACACTTGGTGAGTTCCCTGGAACACCGGGGACACATATTCATGTATAAAAGACGTACAAAAGTGCATTTTGCATGATAGGTCCCCTTTAAGTAAATGCTTATTTTCGTCTGTTTTATCTATGAATGTACGACAGATTGCAGAGACAAAGGTTCACGTATTTTGCAGTCTTGCGCATGTTAGCTAACACCTCCTAGATGTCTAAGTACTGCAACCTTCAAACACCTGGGCAACGAATATAACATTGAAATAGACTTAAGACATTACAAATGGATGTTCCTGTCCATCAATCTAAACACACACTGCTGGAGACATGTTTGCAGGAATACACAACGTTTACATGGTTTTCAGTCTTGCATATTACACCTCCAGGATGGTACAAAGATTAGCACTTAACCCTTCATTGACCTGGGCAAAGAACATCAAATTAAGATAGACCTGAATAATCTGAGATGGATTCTAGTGTGCTTGTTTATCAATCTGAACAATAACTGCTGGCGACTTTTAGCAGAACATCATGACGATAACGTTTTGCTAATCGCAGTACGAGGGTCCGTATGAGTCAGCGGTGAACCTCGCTGGGCCACGTGTGTCCTCTTGTGTCCGATCTGCTCTTTACTGGATAAATGAAAAGATAGATCTGTGCACCATGAGAGACCAGAATGACAACAACGCTGGAGAGGAAAGCAACCACACAACGCTTTTTTGCATCAACCGTTCTCTCGTTTGTGGGTTAAATCTGACCAATTCCTTTCTTTCATCAATCACAAATATTGTGTTTTACATTTGATTTCTTCAAGGCCAGATGATATCCTCCACAGTAGGCATTTGGATATATAAAATGTGTGTAACACCTCTGTTGTTGTCTGCCAAAAATGACCGCCGTAGAAAATTAATGAGTAACCCTAGATTACGTTTATGCAACAGATTGTACTCGTCCGAAAATCTTCAACCATGTACATTTTGGAATACTTTTCAGTGTCTATCCTTTGTATATTCACTGCAGTTATTGATGTAAACCAGTATTCTGAGACATTGTTAACAGCTGAAAAGGGTGTTGAATCAAAATGTGGTGATGATAAATGTGTCAAGTGTTAATGTAAAAGCAGTTAAAACAGACTGGCTTACATTTTAAACAAGGCCATCATTTCTAGTATTAGACAACGGTGAGAGAGACTCACATTGAAAGAAGAAGTAAACAAGAGAACTTAAACTCTGACATATTTGGATCATTCAAAGTTGGGGTCTGATGGCATCAAATTCAGTCGGAGGTCTTCGTCAAGCTGTTTGAGTTTAAAGGTAAAATGAAGGTCTTCTCTTTGGGCTGCAAACAAATCACCTGCTAGGAAGAGGCAGGATTCATCGCTCAACATCGGAACGCCAGGTTAAGGCCTCCTACACTTAAAAAAAAAAGAATAAATCACTAGGAAATGAAAGCGTGGGACTTGTAATACTTGGCAAATTTGGATGTGATATCACAGATTGCAGCATTTCGTTTTTTTGCTCCATATTTCTGCAACAAACTCCCAGAAATCTGCAGAACCACTGCAACTCTGTACTGGTCTTATTCTGTTTCAGCATGTTTTATTTGTATTATCTCGGCTGTTTAATGACTGTACTCAAATGAATGTAAATGTTGTTTCTGTTGCACTATATCTGAATGCCTTTCTTTGCTTTGTGTTGAAATGTGCTGTGTAGATAAACCTGCCTGTCCTTGCATTGGAGAGATGAGGATGCATACTGCATAGTGTGGGCATGTGAGCGTATGTGTAGGCATGTGAGTGTGTGTGTGTGTGTGTGTGTGTGTGTGTGTGTGTGTGTGTGTGTGTGTGTGTGTGTGTGTGTGTGTGTGTGTGTGTGTGTGTGTGTGTGTGGGCTGGTTGGAATCGATGCCTGCGTGGCGGATGCTGCTGGTGGTGTTGCCGGTGTTTCTGAGAATACCCGTATAGAAATATACCCGTACGTACATTATATTTCTTCAGAAGTGGTAATACACTCAC